AACTTCGCTTTTACATTCTTTCCCTCTATCCAAATATTAGATTCCAGGTGAAATAACTTGTAGGTAATTTTGAGGATAGGTCACATTGCCTCCAACATTTGGAATCTTTATTAGTTGCTCATGGAAATGATTGGCTGAGAGAAATGTTTGGCATTGAAGGAGCGCTCTGCTCCGCCCCACCGATCCATTGACCGATAGATCAGATCCAATGCAATACTTGGAGGCGGCGCGCAATGTCGCGCCTTTTTTCCGTAACGCCCTCAAAATCTCTCTATAAAAGAATCCTATCTTTAGTGTCGGAGTCATTCAACTATCAACTTCTAACCTTTCACCTTTCTTCCATCTCTTCATTGGCTTACAAATTCCGGAAGCATCAGAAACAGCAGCTGTATTGGCTGTGATATGTTGTCTGATTGTTTCTCACATCACAGGCCCAATGCAGCGAGCTGTATTTGTACCATTCCCGAAATATTCCGATCTCAGTTTCCCTTAAAATAGTCTATATCCATGCAGGATAATGTTTCACGGTTGAGCTTTGAAAAATCGATTGCTCACCGGAGACATTGTTCCACATTGGTACAGTACTGTTCCCTCTCGTCTCCCTGACTTCGTGAACTTCGAATTTCAGAGTAGTGGAGAGGCTGTAACCATAATGAATAATATTTATTGTGAGTTGGCCATTCTCCAAGTGTCCATTGTTAATACTAATCCGATAGAAGCAATGACATTCGTCCCAGTCATCTTTTTCCCGTTTCATGAAAATGTTACTTGTCTTGCATATTATAAATTGCTCCGACACAATGAATTGTGTCACACAACGAATCATCAAACCAGATGGGACTGCACCAGCCAAGTAAAAACATCTCGAGTTAAAGTTTCACATAAGAAAACTTGAGAGTGAAATAGCAAATATGAAAACAAATAGCGAGTGGATCACCGAGCAAATGAAAGTAAGGTGTTGAAGAAGAATGCATTGTTTAATAAACTTTTCGAACTTGATGCAAATCATACACAGTAATTGGAGTTATCCTTTATATCAATCCATTGAATATGGAAGGTAATGTTTAAGACCAATGACCAATCCGTTATTTTTCTTTTCTACAGACTAATTCTGATTTCATTATCCAACGTTTGTAATATTGTTGAAAATATAAGTGAGCAAGAATAGAAGTTTAATGACACGTCAAAAATTGCGACAGAACCGAAATTAGGATCCAGTCCATCAAAAAAAACGTGAAGGGAAGGTCATTTAAGTCCTCAGATGCGTCGTTTCCGTATCGAGGATTTAATATTGTTTGGACAAACTTGAAAATGTATTTATTTCTGATTCAGTGGAGTTGCAGATAAAAGTTTTTAATTATAGAATTATATTACATATCGTATGACATATAATTTCAAGTCTTTACGATAGCTGCATCGTTAACGATGTGAATAACGTAAAATGTTGTATGAAGTGTGTATATCATATGAAATAATTTCTGTTGATTGTTCTTGGAAAACTATAGTCTGTGGAAGGATCCGAATGACATTTGGATTTTGATGAATAGAGATTGTAAGTACACTGGCGGTCTTTGCCTAGCTTATTTTAAATACAAAACATCGCTAATGAAATGTAAGGGGAAAGATCACTTCAAAAGTCTTCATCAGTCAACGACGCAAAAACATTCTTAATATCAGCAATGATCAGTAATTGTTAATTCAATTCGGTTGAACAAAGCCGTTTTACCAAGTTCGGCATGTGAAAATCAATTAATTAACTATATTGATAAACATATCGTAAATTTGTCACGTTTTTTAAACACGAAACCAAATAGTTCAGTTTATTTATATTTTGACTTTTTTTCTTGTTCAAAACTTCGTTCATATATTCAATAAATGAAGAGAACGCTGCGAAGAAGTAATAATCGGATAGCAGGGCATCAATCATTATCGATTTTCTCCGTTGCAAGGCATCAAGTCTTAATAGAAGATTTAATAACGGCTATTGATTTTTTCGGATTATTAATTAATGAATATTCTTAGCAACATACATTAGTAATATTCATTGACTTTTTATTTCAATATTTCAGTTCGATGTTGGTGCAATGAATGAAATTGTCTTCTTCAGTCCGATTCGATGCAACGATATTTTTGATTTGCGATTGTTATCTGGATAGCAGATTTTGGTACATATACTGGATAAAAAAATAAGTTGAAGGTTGAGCAGTTGAGAAAAATTGACCAGCGGTCACTTCAGAATGGTCAGTGAGAAAAATCACGGATAAAATAGTAGGAGAAAGAGGCGCTGAGTACACATTATGCTTGGCAGCTCACTCCGCCTTTTATTCATATAGCGATCTTTTGCTTCAATGCAACAGTAGGAGGCGGCGTCTAATATAACATTTTTTTCTTTTGCACCGGCCCAAACGACCGTACAAAAACCTCCGATTTCTGGGATCGAAGTCATTCAGAGTGCAGTCACATCCCGAGTGTTCCGCATCTTCTTGCATCAGTGCAACCAGAGCAATTACACCGATTGTTGCATATTCTTCAATTATCTCATATATCATAGGTGTGATACCGCAGACTGTATTCGTTCCATTTCATCCACAGTTACTCTCCACACCATCAAAACCTTTTACAAGCGTGCTCGGAGAGCCTTGAGAATGTTACCAGTTCCCTTTGTAGATTCTAAAATCAAAATACCATTATCAGCTGCTACTGTAAGGGATAGTACTCTGCGGTTGCGCTTGAAATTTACGGAATGCTCACTGGGAGTACTATTCTTTTTAGTAACAGTATCGGTCAAGTTGATGACTCTTGTAAATCTATCGCTTGAAAAATGTCACAAGACAAGAACGTCAGTTAAACTATGTTCCAGAAAATCAAAGGCTAGTAGATACTATTTTGCAGATAGTCTCATAACATATCAGAACATAAACTGAAACCGAGAAATGACAAATCATTATGTTGCTTGCATTGTAACGTTCAAAACATTTCAAGTAACATGGATTTGCATTCCGACATCTCTGCAAATAATCATGCTAATCATGCTATCTGGGACGCACAAAGAAAAACATTCAGAATTATCCTGCTTGGATTCGAATTTGCAGAATTCTTAATCCGTTTTGCAGGAATCGCAATTAGAAACTTTGGTATTTCAAAATTTAAACTACTGCAATTGTTAAATCATATTTTCACACCAAATTGCCACATCAAATTATGAGTCAACGCTTACAAAGTAAATGTTTTTGCTAAAAAAGATAACACACTCAAACTGACATTATGATAATTTTATATCAAGAAGAATGACATGCTCATCTTGCTAACCAGAAAATAAATTTATCTTTGTGGGGCAAATTCCTCCGACTTTTTTATTTTTTAAAGTAGGATTAAGTAAAATGATTTATCTTCCTGGTACATCAGTTTTAACTTAATTTTGTTAACGCTAAAATAAACAATATTTAAGGATAAATTTCGAATTTTCATCGCTGACTTTCATATATCAATTGAACTTCGCTTTTACATTCTTTCCCTCTATCCAAATATTAGATTCCAGGTGAAATAACTTGTAGGTAATTTTGAGGATAGGTCACATTGCCTCCAACATTTGGAATCTTTATTAGTTGCTCATGGAAATGATTGGCTGAGAGAAATGTTTGGCATTGAAGGAGCGCTCTGCTCCGCCCCACCGATCCATTGACCGATAGATCAGATCCAATGCAATACTTGGAGGCGGCGCGCAATGTCGCGCCTTTTTTCCGTAACGCCCTCAAAATCTCTCTATAAAAGAATCCTATCTTTAGTGTCGGAGTCATTCAACTATCAACTTCTAACCTTTCACCTTTCTTCCATCTCTTCATTGGCTTACAAATTCCGGAAGCATCAGAAACAGCAGCTGTATTGGCTGTGATATGTTGTCTGATTGTTTCTCACATCACAGGCCCAATGCAGCGAGCTGTATTTGT